GAGGCTCTTCAGCCAATCAAGTCTGTACCATCAAAAATATACTACTACCTACATTTGTCCCACTTTCCCACACAAAGGCCATAGCCTTGAATGTTATGCCACTTTAAGTGTTTATCCAGGCAGCGCATTCTGGGCCCTAAAATAAGCGCAACAGCTACTTACTATTCTGTCTACCCTGTCCATGCGCCTCATAATCTTATACACCTTTATGAAGTCCCCCCTTGACCTTCTCTGTTCCAAAGAAAACAGCCTGAGCCAGCCTTTCTTCATAGTTGAAATGTTCCGTCCCAGGCAGCATCCTGGTGAATCTCCTTTGCACCCGCTCCAGTGCAATCACATCACTCCTATGGTGTGGTGGCCAGAAATACACACAGTACTCCAGCTGTAGCCTAAATAAAGTGCATTGCAGCTCCAGTCACGACCTCCCTGCTCAGAAAAGCTATAAAGATAAATGTTCAATATGCCTTCTTAACTACCCTATTAACCTGTCGTGCCACCTTCACGGACATGGAGACAAGCACCCCAAGATCCTTCTGTTTCTCTGAGCTTCCTGGTACCATGCCATTCAGTGAGGATTCTTTTGTCTTGTTCCTTCTTCGAAAGTGCATTACCTCACATTCTTCAAAGGTCTATCCTCAGTAAGCTCAATGTAATCCAAATCTCTGTCTAACAAATATCAAGTCCCAATCACCCATCACCATTGATATTGTTGACGCATGTTAGCTTCAAGTTAAGCAATGCCTTGACCTTAAAATTATCACTCTTTGTGGTCTTACCTCTCACTACCTTCATAATGTCCTTGAGACTGGTAATCTTTCAGAATATTTGCGGTCATATAAGTCTGGTATCTTGAGCATCTCCAATTTTAATCATTCCATAATTGGTGGCCATACCTTCAATTACCAAGGCCATGAGCCGTGGAATTTTACTTGTATGCTCCTCTACTTTCCTTACCTTCTTTTCATCATTTTATTTGAACAGTTTTGTACACAAATTCTGGAGGTAGGGATCATTAGCTCTTTGAGTGGGTCAGTGTGGTTGGAGACACAAGGCTAATTATGAAACCTCGAGGTACATACCAACTGGAGTTAGCAAAACATGGACTAGATTTTAGTCTAAACTTTGCATGAAAACTCACAGTCTCATACTGCCTCAAGCTCCCATCTGCCTCTTGAATGGCCATAAATGATTCCAAGAATAGGACTGGTCTCCTGATCAATACTCATCCCCAAACCAACACTGAAAACAAATATTCTGTTCATTTATTTAATTGTCGTCTGGAGCAACTTGTCCTGTGTAAATTGGTTCCGTGTTTCCTACATTACAACAGTAACAATATATCGAAAATACTTCACTGGTTATAATCCTGTTTGAATATTCCTAAAATTATAAGGCAGGTTGTTTCAGTGCCAATCTTTCATTTACATTTTCTTTTTTTGAAATTGAGAAGAAAAATTTTTCTGAAATTATACTTGGCATAACCATTCCATTCTCTGTGGGATATTGTTTTTCTGATATATATAGGAAAGAATTAAATTATTTTAGTAGCACATCGAGAACTGCAGTGAAGAGTTAAATCATCTGCCATGTGTTATCTATAGGAACAGTGGTTAGTTACCAGGGATACTGCCAGGAATAACTTAGCTATCTGTCTACAACTTCACTCAGATTAGCACCAAACCTGTTTAATGTAACTAAACTGAGGAAAGCCCTTATTTTCTGTTTATAGTACACCCCATTGTTTTGAAGAACTGATCTATGAAAGTTTATTTGAGTTTAGAATTTTGAAACATTTACAGGAAAATAGTTTTGGCATCAGCTGCCTGCTAAAATATCTTAGTGAGGCATAACAGTCAAGAGCTATTAAGCAAAATTTTATGCAGCCTTTTCATAATTATCTGAATAACAAATGATGTCACAGCTTGTGGTAGACCTTTCTGCTTTCTGTCTCATAAGGGAGAATTGTTTCCATCAGTTAGCAAACTAAGTGGCACTTTCCAAATATGTGCGTGGGTTTGTATAGGTACATAGCTCAGACTGATAACAGCAGAGTTACAGAGTAATGGATCCTGGCAGTACTGTCATAAACCTGTCATCTATCCTGATGGGGATCTGGAGCATTAGGAACAGCACCACCTAGTTCAAAGAGATAAGCTTCTTTACATTGCTAGATAAATTATAAGAAATGGCTGAATGTTAGCCAATATTGTTGGTGTAAGGAAAGTTTGCCCAGTTTGCGCTGAAGAGAACAGTTCACCCAAGATTGTTTGATATGGTGGTTCATTATGAAGCACAACTGAACAAAAAAAGGAAATTTTAACACACTGATGAAAATAGAGCAAGAACACAATTAAAATGACTTGAAATTAGACACTGCATTCTGAAAGAATTCCCAGCGGCTGCCATTTTCAACATACTCTATTTTTTAGGTGACATAGGTGTCTGTTTAAAGTAGGCATGGGCCTCAGGGACTTGGGGAGTCATTACCACCCTGAAAGTAATTTTAACAGTCTGCCGACAGAGAAAAAAAGGAGACTTTCTTAGGCAAAGCAAAAATTCCCCTTTGTGCAACTGAGCTCTTCCCTCAGACTCACAAGGAAAAATTGGGCTGCAGCTCATATAGGTTAACCCACTTACACTTCCCATTTAAGAAACAGTTTTGAATCCCCTCCATGACTTACCTTGGAGCCATGGAGTGGCCACAGCTCTTCATGGACCATTTCCAGAGAAACAGTTAGTAAACAGGATGTAATTCAAAGTGGAATTTAAAATACGTTGAAGCTTCCCATGGGCACTCCTGGGTTGGGAAGACTTTAGGAACATAACCTCACTAACCTAGTTCCTCAGCTCAATAGTTCAAATCCACCCTAGAATCATTAAATATTGAATAGAACGCTTAAAGGCATATTAATATTTTCGTCATTATGAAACCTGTATAAATTTGAGCTCACCCAAAACTGGTTGTATCCTAATTTGGCCTAAGTTTCATTCACCCATCAGCTTGTGCTAGCTGACCTACATCAACTCCCAGTCTAGCAACATGACAATTAAAATCTTCTTGTTTTCAAGTCCCACCATAGCCTCATCCCTTCCACTTTCCCTAACCTCTTCCGGCTCTTACAGTCTTTTGAAATCTCTGCACTCCTTCAGTTCTGTTTGGTTATGTATCCCCAATTTTCATTGACAACAAAAACAATTGAAATTGCTGGAAAAACTCAGCAGGTCTGGCACCATCTGTGGAGAGAAATCAGGGTTAATGTTTCAGGTCCAGTGACCCTTCAATTTTCATCACTCCACAATTTGGTTACCTGAGTCCACTCTCCAGAATACACTCCAAAATGCTCTCTCTTGTTCCTTTTTCAAGATGGTCTGTACATCTTTGCAGAAACATTTGGTTTGATGTCCGAGTATCTCCTACAGTGATGCAATCTCAAATTTTGCTTGAGGAGACAATTCTGTGAAGCACCTTGGGACATTTAATTTTCTTAAAGGTGTTGCCAATAATTTAGCAGCAAGCGAGTTATCAGGAGGCTCTCAGTGAAGTTGAACTGGATACCAATGCCAGCAACAAGAAATAAGGTCCTTTAGCTTCTGTCAGTGTGAGGCTGGAAATAAATTACTAATGATAAGAATATTCTTCTGCTACTGACAAAGGCCTTTGCACAAAGTTGGTGTTTCCTTGTCTTGTTTGGCTTATAGATCACCGTCCCAGGTGAGATAACCTCCTATATTTTTCAAACATTTAAACACACAGTGAGAATATCTCAGGGACCTGTGATTTATTGAAAATAAACAGATGCATTTAGGCCATTAACCTCTGTGCACATCAGCTCCGTGGAATTTTCTGTGAGCCAATGATCCTGACATTATTCTATTTACAGATTGCTTGCAATGAATGCTAAATTGATTTTTATTCATAATTCATAGACATTTTCTACAAATTCCAGCTCAACTTGCCATCACAAGTTTAGTGAGAGATACAAACCCGATGACAACATCAGAGTTGTCCAAAGTTAACATGAAATTTCAAAAGATTTAAACTCCCTTGTTTTCACACAAAGGGTTTGAACACAAGAACACAGAATGAGTATTTATCCAACTCTTGTCTCAGCAGATGTCTTTGAGTCTGTGACATGGAGATATAAATGATATGAGTTAAAAAGGCAGTTTGAACTGAGGTCATGCTGTGTTATAAGACAGAAAGGGACTCTTGCACCTTTAAGTAATATTGTTCATCATTGAAGAAGTTCACAGCTATTCATTTCAAACACTGTTTTAAAACTCACAATAAATGTTTAAAAGTGATGGGTGTCATTATCCCAATGTCTGACTAAATCAAACCAGAAGAAAATTATCATATAGGAAAATAGATAATAAGCATTACACACATTCACAAACTCCTCCAATTTTGCTGATGAGCTCTGTCAGAATCCAATGTGTGGTTGCCATAGTAGCTTTAGTCAGCACCTTTGGTGAAATAATATCAGCCTGTAAAAGTAGTTGACAATCCATTAGCCTTGGCATTGCAGTCTGAGATAACTTATATCCAAGTGTTTATTTTATTTCAGCAACAAGGAGACCATGAATCTTCATTTTATAACTCTACTGTAAAAAAATGATATATTAATATACAAGACATGAATAATTTACAACTGGACATTGCAATAACCCATGCAGTTGAAATCTGGTCAACAATAAATGGTCACTGACCGTTTCCATGGATTTTGTAAAGAAAGGGATGAAGTTTGCAAGAATTTTTTGTTCACCTTATTAATGCTGATTATAGGTCTTGTACAACAATATGTGCGGGATGGTCTATTTGTGATTTATGAAACTATTTAAGTAGTTGAGAATGTCTAAATAAACAGCTGTGGAAAGCTGAAGCTAGCTGTACTGTGAGGCAGCTGCCAGTTGCTTGCTTTGTGTAACAGATGACGCAGAATCTCAGGCTACACCCAAGCTTTCTCACACTCGCTGTCTCACCCTATCTATCTCCCTATATTGTCCCTTGATACACAGCTACTTTTAGCAGCAGTCATTTTGCAGTAAGCAGCTGGATGAAGACGACAAGAAAAATCTTCACGGGCCTTTCTGTGAGAATGAGACAGTGAGACTCACTGGTGCCTAGCTGTGGGTAGCAGTGGCTCACTGTCTGGATATGAAAAGGTTTCTTTGAAAAGGAGCTCCACAAACTAGCCAAAGCTTAATGGGAATTGCATGAAGGAGGCGTCTCCTAGCTAGTGAAATGTGAAGATGTCTATAAAGTCACAATCATTGTTTTGTTGATGGAAACCCTGAAACCCTGCCGTATGAGAATACTGAAGGTAAGCGTGTGTCTGGTCTGCAACTGATGGGGACAGTCTGTGCTGTTGTTAGCTCCATTTAATGTACAGCAAAACTGAGAGTTTACTGTCGTGATTCTATACCAGAGTTGACCACAAGTTTCAGTAAACAGGGTAGCCCTCATAATATTGTACATTGAGATGCCACAACCAGTTCAGCAATAAATTGGTACAGCTCTCTCATCTCACCATAACTGCTTTCCATATTTTGTGTAGAAAGACTCCAGGTTGATATTAGGTGATTTTAGTCGTGCTTTATTTTCAGATGGTTTGTTGTGTTCTTTCAACATTGCTCAGGGCAGTTTGCACTGACATTTGAACACTATCCATACTATATTAGCATTAAAAGTACACCATCTACATAACCACCAAGAAATGTTTTTGTTATTTTCCCTCTGAGAACTATTTTTAGTGTTTTGCATAGCCTGTTAATATTTCAAAATTCAAGTTGAAAGCACATAACATAATCTTGTTGGTAGTTTTATTGATAACTTTTATCAAGTGTTTCAAATCTAAGAGTTGACCCTCCTGTCTGACTCAAAGACGTGACATTGATTCATAAATCTGATCATTCTTCTGTTTAAGTAATGAGTACATGTAAAGAAGGGTGAGGGTAGCGGGGATGAAGGTAGCAATGTTCTGGATTATACACGCTTTCAACTGCAAGCCAAAGAGACAGCTAACCCTGCAACTTATTTGGAAAGATTATTTTCAGTGGGGCCATTATTGTGATGCCAGCATCTTCCTGTTTTAAGGAAGGGGGAGCTGCTTTGCCAATAGTACAATGCTACTTCAACACAGCACTGAGGAAGCAGCTTAAAGTGTGTGTTGAAGACTCTGAAATGGGATGTGTACACAAGCTTACCTACTTAGAGGTTTGAACCATACCTCCATTGAGCCTCAAGTTTCATTCCTTGCACAGACACTATTGTGGAACAGTGGTAGTGTGGACTAGAAGTATAGGTTAAAGTCCCACCTGCCCCAGAAGGTTTCTTTTTTATTCATTCGCAGTATGAGGGTGACACTGGCTAGTTCAGCATTTATTGCCCAGAGGGCAGTTAAGAGTCAAGCACATTGCTGTGGGTCTGGACTCACATGTAGTCTAGACCAGGTAAGGATGGCAGTTCCCTTCCCTAAAGAACATTAGTGAACCAGATGGGTTTTTCCAACAATGGACTGATGACCATCATTAGACTCTTAATTCCAGATTTTTGTTGAACTCAAATCGCATCATCTGCAGTGGCAGGATTCGAACCCAGGTCCCCAGAACAGTCCAACAATAATACCACTAGGCCATTGCCTTCCCAGAGGTGTGTAATAACAGATACGATCAGATTAATTCAAAATGTTTACAAAAACCTTCATATTGCTTCAGATAGCCAAATGCATGCAAATAGAAGATAAATGGGAAAAAAAAATCCTACCAGGGAAATGAGAGTTTGTTTCACTCAACAAGATATAATGATCTGAAACAGATATTTTTGAAAAGGCGGTGGATGAACAGTCAATAATAACCTTCAAGTGGGAATAGGACATATACTTGAACAGGAGATATTTGTAGGTCTAAGGAGAAACAGCAAAGGGTGAGGGTTGGGCAAAATGGATAGTGCTTTCATTAATTAAGTTAATTAACTTGCATGACAGACTGACTGGCCTTCTCCTGTATGGAACATTCAATTTCTAGGAGTGCCCGAATATAGGTGCCCTGAAGAAATTACTGTTGCACTTTTTTTTTTAGTTACACACAAACTGAAAGATCTAAGAAAGGGCAGGCATTGAGGCAAAGAGGAATTTGCAAGTGTAGCATAGCATTTCTTTGTGGGAAATAGCTAGAAGACACCTGAGCCAAAAACCATTAACATTGTTGTAAGATTGCTCGGACGTAAAGCATGGTTAGATTTCTGTCCTCATTGTTTGGCCAATAGGCAAACTTGCACTTAGGCATGTTAGATCCAGGCTAATAACTGAAACTGTCTATACAGTGGGGTTCAGGACTGGCTAGACTGAACAAATTCTCTGGGGAGCAGTATCTGAAGTGAGCATGCACCCCAAAAATTCCATTGTTTCACCATGTAGCCTGCAAAACTACAAAACTTGGACACTTCTGTTCTAGAGATTGTCTGATTACCTTTAGAATCAGGGGAGGCATTATACACAGATTCATTTTCAGTTATTGTCTCTCTCAAAACTGCAAATGACTGGCAAGGTCTCCATCACTGCAGCAGTAGATCTGACAGATTAAGATTAATGGACAGTGTTTAAAGAGGAAAAAAACTAAGGCAGGTCATCAGTCATTTTCCTTCTTCACAGTTGCCTCAGATCTGATGAATATTTCCAGTATTTTATGGTTTATGTTAGAACTGAAGCAGTGATACTGTATAGTAAAACAGACTGTCAAGTAAGAATGGGGTTAGACACAGTAAATACAACAACAACCTGCATTTATAAAACACCTTTAGTGTAGTAAATGGTCCCAAGGCAATTCACAAAACAAATTATCAAACAAAACCTGACCCCAGGTCACATAAGGAGATATTGACAATTGTCTTAATGGAGTGGATGCTAAACTGTAATGATTATATTCTGATCATGTTTCAGTCTATAGAAGTGTTAAATTAAATTTGGCTCCAGTGCCAATTCAGCCAACAAAGCTGGACTTTATGAATGTATTCACTCCTTCTCCTATCACTAATTCAAAAGAAAGTAATCAGAATCCAGATATATACATATGAGCGAGGATTCTGTCACATTTCCAACTAATTTACTGTGGCAAAGTAGGGAAGCCTGAGAAATTCAGTCGCTTATGGTAAGCAATGATTCTATACAGTTAAACAGTTCATTTAAAGATAATATTATGCTCAACAATATTTAGTTTGCTATGAAGATCTATGTATGGGTTATTTGATGCTAACAGTTCTCCCGCAGATTATTTGACAAAACTTCCATTGCCTTGTTCTTGTAAAGAAATAACATAGGAACCATTTGCAAGATATTTTTTCTTTCATGAATAGGCTGCTCCTATAAGTAAGATGACAGAGACTGGCTAGATTTTATTACTGAACCTTAGTGGGGATAAAGTTGAGAGTAAAAAAATAGATTTGTGAATGGAAGACCGAAGGGATGCATTAACAATGGCACAGCAGAGCAGCTCTGCACAATCTCCTTGACAGTATGAGCCAGCACTTCTCTCTGTTATCTACTTACTATATGACTGCCCTTTTTGTTCTAAATGTTGCTTTCTCTGGAATCCATACTTATTGTCAGTCAATTATTAAATGAAGATTGCTTTGCATATCAGAATAGATCCTCTGATGCTCTGTAGGGTATGTGATTAACAGAATTGATTTCCCATAGGGACATCAATTCTTTATATTCTAAGAAATATAGTGACTTATTTCCTCTAGTGGATGAATAAGAAAGCATGACCTTAAAATTAGAAATAAAGAAAAGAAAATGCTGGAAAAATCTCAGGAGATTAGGAAGCATCTGTGTAGAGAAAGACACTGAGTTAATGTTGCAGGTTTGTGACATTTCATCCGAACCTTAAAATTACATTTAGACTGTTCAGGGTTGATGTGAAGATATACGACTTTACAGAAATGGTAGTGGAAATCTGGAGCTATAAACACAAAGAAATGTTGAGGCTAAACCAATTGGAAATTTCAAAAGTTTAATTGATAGATTTTTGTTTGATAAGCTGTAGATTAGCTGTGATCTAATGGAATGGGACAACAAGCTTCAGGCAGTAGATAAACTATTCCAGTTTCTGTTTTTAATACCAAACATTAGTTTATTTTGTTCTCATTCTTAGTCCAACAGCACTGACTGAATAGAGGCCAGTTTGTTGCTTTCCTCTTAGTGTACCAGCCTCCAATGTTTCACTATATTCTCCAAGGCTGAGGACACAAGTCTCAACCCCTGCTCATGTGGGTGCCAAAGTGAAGGACAAAAGAAGGTACATCTGTGTTCAAGTTGGTAACCCTCTCACATCTAAATTGAAAGATTGTGGGTTCAATTGTGATCTGTAGATTTGAGCTAACTCTCCTGCGCAGTATTGGAACTGTGTTACATTGTCAGAGGTGCCATATTTCATTTGAGATGTTAAACCAATAGATCAAAGGATGCTATTTTGAAGAAGAATAGGGGAGTTTTCCCAGGTGTCCCAGCCAACATTTATCCCTTAGCCAGGATCATTAAAGATCATCATCATCTGGTCATTACCTCACCAATGTTTTTGTGCATATAGCATTTTGCACATTACAAAAGTGACTACTCTTTTGAAGAAAGTACTTGATTCTAGAGCATTTTGGAAAGTTCTGAAGTTGGGAAATGTACTTTTTAAATGCAAGTCATTTTCTTTCTTCATCCCTGATGTATGACCCAGTCAAACAGTTTTAGCTGCTATACACTTTTTTTGTCAAGTGGGGATTTTCCTTCCTGCAATCCTTATCCTCTGTTGTTACTTTTGTTCAGGTATTTATTACTGCAAAATTGATTTAAAGATTAAATCAAATTAAATTGTGCAATGCCAACTGTCTCAGTTCCAATGCCAACTCTGATCTTTAGTGGTTCTTGGATATCTCTTGAGGTCTGTCTCACAAATTCATTGCCATCTCACGTGTATACATATATTTTAAAAAACCCATGCCCCATGGACAAATGTGTCTTCTGTACCTAGTGTCTCTTGGCTGGTATGAATCTGGAGGTGAGATACTTTTCATTAAATGTCTTTTTCTTCTTATCTTGAGCTGATTCACATCCTCATGAATATATTTGGGCTCCTGTCACTTAAAGAAACACACAATTGTCTGCCCTCCTTGAATCATTTTCAAATCCTTCATCATCTGAGACCTCAAGGTGACACAAGAAATTATCATACACTGTTGATTAGCAATTAATGAAGGTGAATAATCCCACTGAATTCTATTAAGAGTCCTATTAAATTAAGGTGTCTCATGATTGAAGTGGGAATGCTAGTGTGA